GCCTTGAAATTTCCGAAATTTTGGTAGAAATTTTGGATTTTTTGAGTGTCCCGAAATTTTTTTCTACTATAACATCGATATCGGAAAAAGATTAGAAATATTTATAAATATCGATTTAAATATCAATATCGATTCGCATATAGAGTAATTAAGGAAGAATATTGGGAAAATTTTAGAAAAATTTCAGTGAAATTTTACTGAAATCATTCTTCCTGTCGAATTTTATAATTTCATACTTTGTCGTCATTGTGGAGGTCATAAATTCTAAAATAATTTGACAAATAAACTAAAGCTCTTATACCAGTTGTTGTGCCAAAAGTCAAATTAAACGGATTCAAAACAAAATATGAATAACAGAAAAATCTAAAAGACAAAATGATTTAATGTGGTTTAGCTTTTAGCGTACGTCCACGAACATAAACAGCGAAAAAATTTTACTATAACTAAAAGATATTATAAAAACTTATTAAATATCTCTTACCACCTAAATTTTGAATACACTTAAAATTTTTCAACCTAAAAGCAAGAATACCAAATATCAAAGAATTAAATTCTCTGACTAAATCTCACTCAAAAAAAAAAACAAAAAAACAAAAAAACTGTATATTAATAGAGATAACCAAACTGTGCGGCTACTATACCTCCTCCACGCTAATTAGCATATAAATATATATATATATATATATAAATATATATATATATGTATGTATGTATGTATATGCTCTTCAGAAGATGTCGGCTGCAAGTCTTGGTCGGCAAGCCGAAACAACTCATGGGCCGTGGCCCAATACCCAAAACAAGCTAACGGGCTTAATTAAAGCCATACTCAACATTAACTTCCGAATTTGTGTGTGTGCACGCAAGCCCTTTCCTTCTTACAACAAACCGTAAAACACACAACCTTGAAAATTCACCATGCAAAAAGCCTCAACTCCATTAATCCTCACGGATATTTAGAAATATTAATTTCCATGCAACTGGTGGTCACTCACAAAGTCAGAAAACAATGATTGCTCAATAGTGAAAAGGGCATAATTTAGGATAGCTTATTAAACAAATATTGATCAAAAATAGTAAAATCAACAACTCAGAACTAATCATTCTTACCACAAATCAGCTACTGAGATTCGAAGGACCAGAAAAGAAACTAAATTGACAGATACAAAAGCCAAGAAACACAAATGAACATAAATATATTTTTTTAATTTTTTAATTTTTGTTTTTGAAAATGTAAGAGTGTGACCACCTTTATTTTTAGTTATTATTACTACGTTTATACTTAGCTAATTTCTTAATTTTTATTATTTTTGAACTATAAACTCCTAAAACTCAGGTTACTTTTTTTTTCCTTCAATAGTGAAATAAATTCTAATATACTTTGCTAAAAACATTTTCAACTTCTTAACATTATAATTTGTAGATAAAATTCTTTTAGAACTCCAAAATTCATTTCTACACATGGTCATACATTTGACTTATCATTTGCATAACACTGTCATTCACATGCCATTAACATGATAGTACTTGGATACAACAACATACTTTATGACTTGAGGTTACTAAGTATAGCCTCATTGTCTCACATACTTTACTTTTATTACATCGCTTATTTACATCCATAAATCCTATTTACAAGAAACATTTGGCAGCATACTCAAATTACGTGGTGCATCCATTACCCACTTTCTCACATCCCGCTGCTTCATCCTTTTCTGCATGCCCAACAAACAAGTTTTAAGGAGCCGGTGCCTTACCCGAGCTTCCTACAACACGAACAAATGAGATGAGCTTTTGCTCAACAAGTAACAACAAACCACAATAAGTGCAATCAGTAATACATACCCATATATGCATTCATGTCATACATCCTAACACATTTTCTTTTCTTTCGTATTATACTTTCTTTTCTTTCATTTTATACCTCTTGACAACTTTCATTGTTCTGTCGTTCGTTTCTTATAACTTTTACTTCTTATGGGCCCTGTATATGTTGTATCATTACGCACATACCCAATGAGGAGTGGGGTAGCTACCCAAAACTAACTCACCTCTGGTTTTATTCATAATAAGCCGATAGAAACAGCTTCATTAACTTTCTGTCATTCATCATCTTTACTTCATACATCATCTTACTGTTATCTTTTTTATCGTGACAGTAATTTTAATCTTAATTTTTAATTTTTACTTATTATGAGTTCCGTACCTATTGTACCGTTGCGCACATACCCAATGAGGAGTGGGGGAGCTATCAAAAACTAACTCACCCATAGTTTTATTCATAATAACCTCCCTTGCGAAGGCCGGTACAAACAGTTTTATTAACTTTTATCATTTGTCATCTTTACTTTATACATCGTCTTACTATCATCATTTCTTATCATGACAGTAATTTTAATCTTATCATCTTTACTGTCATTTTCTTTCTTATGATGACAGTGATTTTAGTCTTTTTTTTTTTTGCATCTTTAAGTATTTCTATCATTTCCTATGAAATTGAGCTTTATTCAAATGTTTGACTTTTGTTGACTTTGACTTTTTCGCATATTACAATTCTACTACTATTCTAAGTCCATAAGCACATTCAATACAACAAATAAGAATCAAGAAACATCTTTCACATAATTACATACATTGAACTTACAATGTGTCAAAACTCGTGCACATTTGGCTTTAAGTCACAAATTGGACCTGTTTCAGAGAAACTGATGTCTAAGGTTGTTTTTGGGGAAAAAGCTATTTCACAAAAGTTATTCGAAAAGAAATTTCCTTCAATGTGATGTTGGTTACTTTTTGAAATTAAGCTTCTATCTTGGTCTTCTAACCAAAACAGCACCGGATACCATTTTGTGGGTCAATAATCTTGTTTTTCAATTTTGGTCCGAAATTGAGAATTTTCATCATTTTAAGTTCCCACACATCTTCAATCACCTAATCAAATTATTTTGCACATTTCATTTCCCCTATTCTTCATTATAACCGGGTTTAGTTTAAATTTTCAAACTAAATTTCGGCGGAGTTCCACCTAGTTTTCAGGTTTCCCGAGCTAACTATAGATCGTTTTATCCGTTGTTTCAACCTTTCGAACACATGTCACAATCATTTTCATTTCTTTTTATCATCATAAGCATCATAATCTCTAGTGTTTCTTCACTATTCTCACAAGATTTATCTCTAAACAAAAATGCTAAAAACATAATCCAATATTCAAAAATTTAACCTTTAGACATTAGGTTTTTCGGTACCATTCATAACCATAAGCAAATCATCATCCTTGGCAAAAGTTTTCCATGGTTTCTACTATTTATGGACGTGCAACCAAGGTGAAAAATGAGAAGAAAAATTGAAAATTTACCTTAGAAGAATGAAGAACAAGTTCCGGTGATGCTAATCTACGGTATTTTTCCGCCAATTTCGATTTGAACTCAATTTTTTCACTTTGGGAAGTTTTTTTTCCTCTCTTTCTTTGGCTGAGCTCTCTCTGTTTTCTTGCATGAAAATGGACATTTTTCTTGTATTTTTCCCTTCTAAAACTAGCCACAAAGGGCATGAGGGACCCAAGTGTAATTTTGACATTTTCTAGTGCCTTCTTAAATTTCATATTCATGTGTTTGTTCTCTTGTGGGAATAACATAGCGTTCCATACCTTTTTCTTAATTACAATCTGAAATTCGGTAACTGCAACATAGTTTAAAAATTTTTGACTTTTAACTTATACTTTGCTATTCATTATTAATATCAACAAATACTTATTATAAAAATATTATACTTATAATACAAAAAATTTAAAAAAATTTCATCTAATATAATAATTTTTTTGACAAATTTCCCGATCATAACAAAGAGACAACATGCAGTGAATGGTACAAATATAGAACGATAGGCTGCTATGCAACACTTGATGTAACCACAATCAATCCACATAAACGATGGTGAATGTTGCTCAAGCTCTATTTTTTCCTTTTTTTTTTTTTTTTACTTTTTCCGTTTTTTTTTTTTGGAATATCTAAAGACAAAGATTCCAACAAGGCTCTATTACAACTTACAAGAGATCATTTCTTTCTAATCCTAATCATTCCTCAAGCAAATGTATCCAACATTCCACAAACCATGATTGATGTTCTGACATAGCGACTAATGATCAATGGTGAATTTTAAATTTTAATTATCACTTGTTACACAACTCTTATCATTCCAAACAAAAAGTCATTATATTTAAAGAGAGAATATAGTAAATAACATATTTATGAAATTAAATGAAATAAATAGTAGATTTTAAAATTGTTTGACGTAAATAGCAATTTTTCGTTTAAATGGTTCATTTACAACTAGTAAAAAGATTTTTCTACGTATTAAGAGTTTTTAAGATTTTTTATCGGTCGTAAAAAAATAATTTACATAATAAATTACTATTTATTTTAAATAGTTTTAAAATCTACTATTTACTTAATTTAATTTAAAAATATACTATTTACTACAATTTCTCATATTTAAATTTTTTTTTTTTCAACCCACCCACCAACCATCCGTTGAAGGCATGCCACACTTTCTTTTTGTGAAAGTCATAAGAATTATTTTTGACAAATATTAACAAGTGATGCCAAATGTTAAGATCTCAAAATAAATCTAATAGTGACAAATGAGGACAACTCAGTTGTAAGCCTCTCCACCTAATTATCCCTTTCTTGAATAAAAAATAAATAAATCTAATACTCTTTTTTGGGTTGTTTCTACCGTAGTCTCTTTCCTGTATTTTTAGTTGGGCACCATAATGAAGAAAAAAAATGTTAAAATGTAAAATGAAGAAAAAAACCACATACTTTTTTTCTGTGTAGGGTGGAACCCATCCTATTCCTTTAAAAAACTTTGGGCACCATAATTTTTAAAAGAGAATAATTTTTTTTATAAACGATATATTTCTTTTAAATGAGGTGGCAAAGAGTATTTTCTATTTTCTTTAAAAATATTTTTAATCCTTGAAAAGTAATTTTATTAATAGATAATTTAGTAATAAGAAATTTTATTAAAATAAAGTGCGTAAAAAGTACAACGTGAAGCCCTTATTATTATTCTACATCTCCCCCCACTTTTCCAATCCTCAAAAACAGAGGACATTTAACAACTTTCTTACAATCTCCACCCTCATCATTCTCCCAAGCTCGCTTAAACTCCTCAACGATATCACTTCCCAAAAGCTCCACACCTTTGTCCTTAGCCGTCTGATACGCTGACCAAGACCTTATATAGTTGAAAAACCCCTCCAAATCCATCACCTTCTCGATCACAAACTCAAACGGCCCCGTTTCACAAGCTCCCTCCACAGCCTCAAACGGAAAGTCGATTCCCCTGTACTCATCATCCACAAACTTACGCAGCGGGTCCCAATAAGGCCCCGCGCAGACGGTGTAGAGGCGGTCCATGATTCTGTCAACCGAGGCGTTGACTCTTGGCAAAGTGTAGCACCACGCCGCGACGACGCCGTTTGGTTTCTTGAGGGCCCACTTAACTTGGTCGTAGAAATTTTGGAAGTCGAACCAATGAAGGGCTTGAGCTATGGTGACTAGATCGAGGCTTGATTTTGGTGTCAATATTTGCTCCACTTGGGCTATGGACATGACTGGTGGGGGGTGCTCATAGCGGATGGTGGTAAGTTTGGGCGCTTCTTGGAGTTGTTTTGGGCTTGTGTCTGTGGCAATGACCTTCTTGTAGATCCCAGCTAGCTGAAATTGATCGTTATTTTGAGGCATGTTATGACCCATTTAGTTTACTGATTCGAGTTGAGATGTGACTTTATATAAGAGTTTTTTACTGTAGTAAAAAAATTAAATGTGACTGCTTCTGAGAATTTTTTACTATAAAAAAATTCGAATTCTAAACTCGAATCGGTAAAATAAACGGAGTCTTAAGTATTTTACATTATTTCTAATGTGGCAATTTTGTGTCACAAACGACACTTTACTAGTTCCTTGGTTTAAACTCTCTCTCTATATGAGAAAATGGCTTCATAAAAATAGAGTCTATAAGAATAGGACACAAGGAAATTATTGGGTGCATTTGGAATTAGTTTTAAAATGATTTTGTTTTCAATAAAAAATAAAAATGAGATTGGTTTGAGAATTATTTTGGGATTGATTCTAAAATTGCGTTTAATTAGTTTTTTAAGATATTATTTTGAGTATAATAAAAAAATAAAATCGTGGTTTGAGAATTATTTTGGGATTGATTCTAAAATTGCGTTTGATTAGTTTTTTAAGATATTATTTTGAGTATAATAAAAAAATAAAATCGTGTTTAATTATAATTATTAATTAATATATTAGAAGTACGACACAAGAAAATTAATAGTACTTAACCATGCAACATATAGAGGATGTTGTGCAATAAAATGTATGGTTAATGAGATAAACTTTTCCTTTGCTTAATCGATATATGATGGAATTTACTTTGTGTTTTCAAAAAAAAAAAAAAAGAAAGAAAATATTGAGGTTATTCATTATGTTTTTCTAATCAAATAAAATTTTTGTATGGTGGATTTTGGGTGATTACCATTTGTTTTTTTTTTTTTTTTGCACATGTAAAAAGAAACCGTGTTTGCTTGATGCTAAATAGCAGGCTTGATTAATTTACTCGAAACCCAAAAACTCAATCTGTGTGATTAATATTCAAATCAAAGCAAAAAAAAAAAAACAAGAAGGGGAATCTGGAAACAGAGAAACTCACAGACTGTGCAGCTTGTCCACTTCCGGTGCCGACGTCCCACACGAGGTCGTGGCAGGGGGTCTTAGAGGCAATGAATTCGAACAGCTCTTTCGGGTAATCCGGCCGATTCTCAGCGTACTGCTTTGCTTGCTTAAGAAATAACTCCGCCATTTTTCTGTGATATGAAGTTCTTTCCTTGTTTTTTTTTCTTTTTTCCTTTTCCTCTCTACGTACTTGTACGAAGAAATTCTCAAATCTTGGTCACCATTTATAGGGCTAGATTAATTATTGTGATAACGTAGTTGGTTTTGGGTACATGTGGACCGGCAACTGAGGGAAGCATCAAACGAAATTGGTTTCTCTTTTGACCAAAAGAGTTTCAAAGGCATCCAAACTCTCCGGTGCTTGACTTTCGTGAGGACTTTTGAACTTTGTCACATGCTAAAAACAAGTTTCTGTCTTTTTTTTTCTCTCGTTCTTTTTGGAAAGTTCCACTTTAAATTCGAAGAAAGTCTCTGAATTGGCATACATGAATTTAGATGTCGTCATCGCTGAGCTCATGAAGTTTGTTTTTATGACAATATCCTTGCACCGTTGAAAATTGAGCTCACCAAAGAGTCAAATATTGATTAAGCAGGATGTTTAACTTAAACGGGTAGTTCTGATGCATGATAGATCAAACAAAAACCGTTTTAGGTAACAAATTGTGATGCTTAGGAATGAAGTAACGCAAGTGCAGTTAGAAATTCTATATATGTATTTACTTCAGTACTAAAAGGCAAAAAAAGAAAAGGGATAGTAACAAAATCCTCGCTCTATTTTTCAAAACTTTTTCAAACTTTGTTAAAACAACTCCTTGTGTTTTACAAATGATGTTAAAAATCTCCTTTGGGAGGTGAAAAAATCTCATTGAAAACGTCAATTTGAGGAGGTTTTAATGTATTTTGTAAAATGCACGAGCTAGGTGTAATTGTTGCTGGGCAAATTCAATAATGGGCCCAAGATCGATCAAAAGGCCCGAATGCATCTTAAAAGCCCAATATCTAAAGCCCAGCAAAAGACCAAGCAAGAGGAAAGGACCTCCATTGGAGATACGGGGTGGCAATTTATATCAGTGGGTCGTGTTTAATGTAGCTCTCTTAATTGAGGGTGAACCAGGTGAACTTTTTTCTTGCCTTTATTGCATTTATACTACACTAAATTGCGTGTGATCTACATTAGTTCGTAATTAACATTAATTAGCTGAAAGATTCGTGAATTTTTGTTGACGAATATTTCAATAAAATACAAGTGAGACGATTTAAAATATGTGAAAATGAAAGTGATTCGCGTCTAGTAGGAAACGGCACTTCTACAATCCAATTAATACACGTTTATGGACTTGGAGAGGCGGGTCCTCTTTTTCTTCTTGTTTCTCAGTAAGCGGAGAAGACTAGAGATAATGGCCTTCAAAATCCAAATCAACGTCCAGACCAGTTTTTCTATTGGTCACGAGGAAATACAAGTTCAAGAATCTAAAAATCAGAAAAAAAAAAAACAAACACAAAAGCAATTCCAAAACAAATCCAATTCCAATGTTTGATTGAGCTTAACGGTCAAGCAGATTACACCAAGTTTTCTAACTAAATGTTGCCAACTCTACCTATTTTCAAATGAACAGGAAACTTCACAACCTTTTGATCATTTTTATCCTCATTCCAAGCACACTCGAACCTCTCAATCACATCCTTCCTCAAGAGCTCAATACCCTCGACTTTCGCCGTCTGATATGCAGACCAAGACGTTATGTAGGCGAAAAACTGATCCAAGTCCATGCCTCTCTCAGCCACAAACTCAAACGGCCCCGTGTCGTCCAATCCATCCACCGGCTCAAATGGGAAATCTATCGTTCTATACTCATCATCAACCACTTTACGGACCTTCGAGTCCCAAAAGGGCCAAGAATCATCTGTATAAAATTGTTGGAAAACAGCATCCACTGAGGAGTTCACTTTGGGCTCTGTGTAGCACCAAGCTGCGATGACTCCATGGGGTTTCTTGAGAACCCACTTTACTTGCTGGTAAAAGCTTGGAAGGTCAAACCAATGCACGGCTTGGGCTGCAGTCACCAAATCTAGGCTTGATTTTGGTGCTATTTTTTGTTCAACCTCGGCTATGCTCATGGTTAGAGAGGTGTGCTTGTACTGAACATTGGGAAGTTCAGATGCGAATTCTAGCGGTTTTCTGCTTGCATCTGTCGCTATGACGTTCTTGTAGAACCTTGCTAACTGCAAGTATTTTGGATTAGAAGCAGAATCTGGAAAACGTGTGATGATATCCCATGTTATTGTTGAATATCATTGGATTACAAGTTATATGACAGAACAGTAGTGGAGACAAAATATTTTGTCAGTGAGGACACTATGAAAACAATAAGCAAGAATCTTTTGTTAGATAGAAATATGGTTATAAATCTCAATTATTGAGTTAAGGCACAAATAGAATTTTGCTAGTATATAGGGGGCACAGTTGATTTTTTTAATTTTTATTTTGAAAATCATGTGTAAAAGTTAAGGGGTATTTGGTACGAGGATTTGTGTCATGGTTCAAATCATAATTTGTTGCTCTCTACAGTGTTTTCTCTCACAAAAGACTCACGTAAATCGAGAATGGTTCTGACTCATAATTCTAAATTCATGAACTAAACGTCCACTAAAATTCAAAAATTAAGTGGGGGCATGTGCCCTTCTCAACTAAAAATTACTCGACCACTACGACATAATGTGATTGGACTAAAATTAGTACGATGTTCTAAATCGAAAGTGTTCCAGTTACAAACATAGTTGATAGAAGTGCACGAGTTGACAAAGTATTTAGTGTTAATTTAGTTACATAATTTTTAACAGTTAGTGGTACATTAGGATGGTGCTGTTTAGTGAAACTGAAGAACATATATAGAGCAGGGCCATGTTAACAAAAATAATATCACTTGGAGATCCATTCATGTAGAAATTTAAAAGAAAATTTGTATGTATTATAAAACAATACATAAGTGAGGGATGGGATAAGCAGTCATGTAAGGAAATTTAATCAACAATACAATAATTGTCCAATTATTATGTTTTTAAATCAACTGAGACATTCACTCTAAAATCTAAAGAGTGGATTTGTTTCCCCCTCTCTCTGCTTTTTGCCTTGCACCATTTCCTTTTTTTTTTTTTTTTTTTTTTTTTTTTTTTTTTAAAAAAAAAAACAAGTCAAACATCTCTATGCTTTTTTTTTTTTTTTTTTTTTTTTTTTTTTCATTTATGAAACAAAAGATTTGATCATTCCATAAAGTAGTAATTCTGCATACTTACACAAGAATGTTGAGAAATTTTCTCCTAGTTAATTTGACTGATATTGTTTGTCCATAAAAGTGTATGAAAAATTATATGATCCTGGGGTGTGAAGTTAATTGAACAGTAATTACAAAAATAAAAAGAAAAGGTCAATAACTGAACCGAAAGCAGTGGCAATGAAAAATAAAAGAGGATGACTTACAGATCGAGCAGCCTGACCACTTCCAGTGCCCACATCCCAAGCCAAAAGGTGAGAAGGTGTGTGAGAAGCTATGAACTCAAAGAGCTGTGGTGGGTAACTTGGCCTTATCTCTGCGTATGTTTTTGCCTTCCAATTGTATAATTCCGCCATTGAATCTCTCTCTCTCTCTCTCTCTCTCTCTCTCTCTCTCTCTCAATTTGTCTTTGGGGGAACGAGGAGCTGATAAATTTCTCTCTCTCTCTCTCTTCCAATTTGTCTTTGGGGGAAAGAGGAGCTGATAAATTTCTCTCTCTATCTCTCTCTCTCGCTCTTCCAATTTGTCTTTGGGGGAAAGAGGAGCTGAGAAATTTTTGCTGACCGAAATAGTTTGGGGGGTCGACGTTCACACAATAAATTTAGAGAGGTTAAATTTTTAATTGCTGATGGTTTTGTTTAGAAACAAATAATTTTTCCACAGGTTTTTAGCACAATTTGTCCGTGAAAGAGTTGTCAAACGTGCCGTGCCGAGTCAGCACGAAGCGCTTGACACCAGGCCCATTAAGAGCCTGGGCCGTGCCTGGCACGATCCTGCACATTTTGGTGTGTTTCTTCGGAGGAAAGAGGGCCAGTTTCTTCGGAGAAAAGGG